AAGTTTTGCGAAGATAACGAACATTGCAGCATATCGCGAGGGACGCTTGGAGAGATGATGCACACAAAATTGAGCATTCACTGGCAGATGTGTTAGGGCATGCCGGGATATGGAACAGTCCGAAGATCGTGAGCGTAGCGACTTTTGCTGAATGGGGCACCACTATTGTAGAGATTAGCATGTTCTGGCGACGCCATGTACCGCTGAGATCACAGACTACTATTTGTCCAAAGTGTCACAAGACTGAACTTTTGCACAAACTTCGAGACACAAGGAGACATGGCAGTACATGAAAAGCGATCGAGATCCGACACTTGGAGAGTAAGAGTCAAGCAAGGCTGTTGATGCCATCGATTAATACGGCTCGATCTATCCTAGACGCTTGAGTGCTCTTCAAAGGGTAGAGAGGAAGAAGAAGGCACAGGGGTTGGGTATCAGAAACAAGCGGAGCCCGCGGGCAGAACAGAACAATCCTCGTGGTTAGCGGAAACATTCTCCGGTATTGATTGTTTAAAGCAAGCATACAGAGGCAGATGAGTAAACCATATAATGTCTGTGCAGCTACAGTGTCGCTTGCGACACGATGCAACCGTACTAATCGTACGTAAGAGAAAGAATTGAAAAGGCTAATATCGTGATCTACCGCTTGATGCCGGGGGTCCAAGCAATAGCGAAGATTGCCGAGAGGGCGAGAACAGTAGTCTTGGAAGCAATAGTGCAATGGGAACAGTAAAGCAGCGAGTACAGGAGGCGCGGAAATGCACCACTTCGTCCCGCGGGCCTTCCAGTCCTGTGGGTCACTCTGTCCTGCGGGCCACTCTGCCCTGCGGGCCTTCCAGCCCCGTGGGCCACTATGTCCTGCGGGCCACTCTGTCCTGCGGGCCCCACCCATCCTGCGGGCCGACCTGTCCTGCGGGCCACTCTGTCCTGCGGGCCTTCCAGCCCTGTGGGCCACTATGTCCTGCGGGCCATCCAGTCCTGCGGGCCATCCAGTCCTGCAGGCTGCTCTATTTTGTGGGATGTAACACTGCAGCGGCATTCGAGTCTGTGGAGCTCTGTGATCGCTCACCGGATCTCCAACGCAAAGACGCATCTGCTCAAATTATATGTGTCTAATTGACATTGTTGTCATGGTAACACCATTGTTGGAATACTGCAGCCAATTCTCTTTCACATTACGTTACGCTAGCATGAGTACAGCGGCGAATTAGTCTGTGTAATGCACAAAGACACCTAATGGGAGCTATAACGCTTATGTACGGCGATGAAGACTACTCCTATAGACACACTCGCCCATCAGGTATCTCCAAGCTGTCAGCTTTCTGATCAATGTGGCTGCATATTAACTCTGACTGATGGGTCCATGGTTTTTTTTGACGATTGTACGTACCTGATGCGTCCTGTGGGATCGTATCGCGGAAGCAGTATGACCAAAGCCTTTGTGTGTTCTATCTGTCGGTGTTCTCCTACACTAATTCACACTTGTCGAGACCGATGATTCGAAGTTACTGCAGACTGGCCGTTACTTATCAGAGAGAGCAAGGCCCATACGTGCAATGCGCGCCATTTGCGGCTTCACGTCCGGTGAAAGTCGGTACTCCTAAGATATCAAGCCGAGATGGAAATTATGTTGCGAGAATCGAATCTAGGTCTAGCTCGTTGTCTGTCATTCCCGGAAGCACTCAACTCCTAAGAGGTTAACGAGGATAGACAGACTGACGAGCCTTCTGCTACCCGGCCAAAGACAGACTGACGGGCCTTCTGCTACCCAAACAGGCAACATCTGCGCCCCGTTTCGGCGGCAGAAGTCCCTGCACAACTTGCACAACTCGCACACCCTCGTGTAAACCTGCCGCGGCTCCTGCTGCAGCGGGGCTGCCGCTTGTTTCATAGAGCACTGGCGCCTACCTTGAACCGCAGGGCGCACGCGCCCTTTGCGCTGTCGCCGTTTTTCAGGCGCAGAAGCTCGAGATAGGCCAGGTGTCAGTCGCCCTTGCCCGCAGTCACTTCGTGCCATTTATATCACCTGTGTCCGCCTTCTCGCCTGTCATGTCACGTCGGTATGATGGGGGCACTCGAGGACGGCGCAGATTGGCGAGCCATCATTGAAGACTTCACCCTCCGTGGCCGTCATCACGAACCGTATGCGAATACTACAGAAGACAGCATCCGGCACATGCGAAACAGATGGTCGTCGTAAGTGTCCTCTCGGCCATCTGATCTCGCGTGGCGTGTGTCGCACAGTGCTGACAGCTGTGGCTTAACAGCTTCTGCTCTGCGGCGCGACTGGGCGACCCTCATGAGGCCCTCCGTGCTGCTGGTCCTCCTCAGCTCAAAGCGTTTTTCCAATGGGTCATTGTCAACGCAGAACGGTCAGCACAGCAGGGCCCGACCCTCAAGCAGTACTTCCGTGTGTTGAAGATGGTATACAAACAAGTCACCGGTGCCCTCCTAGATGATGTGGTGGTGTCAGATGTGAACGCCGTGAGATTTCTCCTATTCGAAACGCTGCGCTGTGCTTGGACAAACTTCTCCGATCTCAGTTCATCCAGTACCACGCAGAAGGTAAAGCGAAGACATCTCACCGCCCGAAACCTGTTCCTTCCGGTGCAGACTTCGTCAACATGCTGCACTTCCTCTACTCCTCCGACTGGACGCTGTACCCCGATGAACGACAGCGTGTGCAGCAGGGCTTCCTTATGATCATCCATGCTTACAAGTGGTCTACGACCCAGCTCTACAACACAGTCGGGAAAGCGGCGCAAGGTCCAGGCCTCGAGTCTTGAGGAGGAAGACAACCTTGCCGCGAAGCTCCGATACGGCGACGTGGCCCTCATCTTCACGGAGGACGACCGTGGACATGCCCGCTTCGCGGTACGGTCCACATTCAAGTACTTCAAGGGCGGAAATCGTCGAGCGCAACAGTTCGTGCTACGGTCACACTACACCTCCTATATGGCCGTACTGATTGAGTCCATCCAGAAAGACCTTCACCTGGTTCGATCAGCCGGACGTCCTCACCTGTCCCGTCGCCCACTTAGTCTCGCTCGCTCTTCACGACGAAGCTTTTCGACTTCCGGCTTTGCACGGTGCACAGAGCATTTTCGATGTCACCCTTCCCGCCGGACAAAAAAAGATCACGCTCCATTGGCGCGACGACGTCCTTGACAAGCCCATCCTGCGAACCTCAGACGGCTGGTCGACTGAAACCGAATTGCCCAGTAGTGTAGCGTCGAAGCGGTTGAGGAGCTTAGGAGAGAAGATGGGTTACCGCGAGCCAGTCACATGGTATTGGCTTCCGCGACTGGTTCTTAATGCCGTGGACGGTATGCTTATCGGTTGCGATCACGGTCCCTTCGTTGCTAAACCATACACAGGTGCTGGATCTGAAGAAGTGCGCAATCAGGTCGCAGGCCACCTTGACAGTCGGACCTATCGAAACAATTATCAGGATCAGCATATCTCCCTCGATGTTGCGAGCCTCGTTCGCGGTCGGCAGACGGAGGACGCCCTCATGCAGAAGCTGAACCATGCTGCAGCCGATATCGATCCCAACTGCAATCTCCCGCTTGCGCCCGAAACTCTGCAGCAGATCGCGACCCTCCTGGACGTTGTCGCTCTCGAAGCCGAATGTTGCCGCCTCGCGCAAATTCTGCGAGACCAATATGGCGCCATCTCAGCCGCTCCATCTTCTGATAGCCTGGTCGCTCAACATACCCAAAGCCAACGCAAATACCGGGCGAGGAAGCAGTTTCACCGATCCCGGCTGCTGGTTCAGCAGCGGCGAGACTACTTTGCCCACAGAGACACAGAGCTGATCAAGATGCAGCTTAGTAATGGGGGCTCCCCCGACTCGGTATCACCGAAACAAAGAGTGTGCCAGCTCTCGGTTCCCGAAAGAGCGACCTTGGTGGCGCTGGCCACGGTTGGTGACTTCTCATCCCCAACTTCACGAGCAGATCGAGCGGGTGCCGTCCAGGCCATGGCAGATCTCTGTCGCCGGGTCGAACTGCCACAGCACCGCCGAGGTCCCGAGACCATACTGGCACGCGAACTGAGCCCTAGTTCCTTATCAAGCAAGCCTGACAAAGTCCCGGACACGGATCCATTCCCTCTACGATGTCTCCCGTTTCAATGCCTGTTCTGCCTCGGCGACGAGCGACTTATTTTAGGAGACCGTACGCATAATTTCAACCGTCAACAGGCTCTGTGGAAGCACGCGAGGAAATATCTCGACGCTGTTGACGAGCGTGAGAAGATCTTCTGCCCGCATCCGAAGTGTCGCAAGCTGGACGTGGTGCTGTGTCACATCCAGCATCTCAAGAACCACGCGCTGCGGGAGCACGGGATTCGATTGCAATGTCGCTAGCGGGCACACATACTATGTATATGCCCTCCTTCGCCTCTCGGAACCTCACTTGGTGCAGGAGTATACACGCGTAGAATAGAATGCAGCACAATTCCATTTGAAGTCGCGGTTCGCTGCTTTCAATGGAGCAAACACCACAAGATCACACTGCTGACATATGGGAAGGATTGCGTCGTGAACAAGCAGCTGGGTACTTCGGAGACCTTGTGACAGGGAGGATTGCTATCCGTGGAGACGAGAAAAATATGAAGGAGCAAGGGGGCGCCTTCCTGATGTCATTTATCAGCGGGATAACACAGCCGCGCGGCAGGCTGAGCACTAAAAGGAGATCGACAACTGGCTCGCAACACCCGACCCGTGGAGCAACCACAAGTCGGCACGCCAGCTACATTAGCCTCACACTGGGACGTGGCTGCTCGACTCAGATCAATATCAGGGCTGGAAGGCCGCCTTTATACGTCATGTGGCTATACGAAAAGGCGCGTTGCGGTAAGACGATACTTTGCTCTTCAGCTATTGCGGACGTGAAGACATATTGCGAACAGCAGCCTGGGGTCGCATACGCCGTCTTCTACTTCTCGTTTTCGGACAACCAGAAGCAGCAACTTGTCGATCTGCTCACTTCTCTCATCGTGCACTTGGACTGGAAGGAGCCAGCTTTGTCAGTGCTGCAACAGGCATATGAGAAGCCCAATTGGACCGCACGAGGGCTGGAGGAGCTAGAGAGAATTCTTCTATTGTGCTTTCAGTCCTACAGCGAGGTACTCCTACTAGTTGACGGGCTTAATGAGTGCCCCGAAGACGACGATGTCCGGCAGAGCATGATGAAGGGCTTGATTGAAGTGTCGCAGAAAGCAATCCAGGTGAGGATCTTTGCAACAAGTCGCGAGTTGCCAGACATACGCCATTTCATGAGTAGGCTGGGTGCGGAACCGACAGCTATCCTCACACAGTCCGTAGACGAGGACATTCGACGATATATGGAGGCCCAGCGCTCACGTGATCATCGTTTGTCACATCTAGAACACTGTCGGCGAAGTTGCTCGTCCTTTCGTGCTATTTCAGCAATCAGGATCTATGATATGAACTCCTGTATGATGGAGATATGGAGCATCTGCCGTGGTTGTTGAGCCTTACAGATGGGACATTCGGTTTTATCAATGCTATGCGGCTCCTGTGCAATTACGGTATGGCTGAGCATGACGCAACATTTACGACAGATATTGAGACGGGCGGATACAGCATAAACCCTTGTGTTCATTCGTGGACGATTCAGGTGCTTAACAGACGATGGGACAGTAAAATTGCAGATTTTGCTATATGTGCAGTAGGTCAGCATGTCCCAAGCGAGGAGACGACAGACTGTGGACGACATCAAGACGTCTGGTACATCACGCAGACCGTTGCTTACAATACCTTCCGAAGGTCGACTTGACGAAGTCTAAGACAGTAGGTTCCCTCCACGAGATAGGTTGCGTCTACCAGAAGCTGGGACGGACGCAGGAGGCGGGAGAGACGTATTTGCGGATCCTACAAGGGAAGGAGGAGGCATGGGGAGCAAAGCATACGTCGACCCTCGGCGCTGTCAACCCAGCCTCTACATGGATCAAGGACGGATGCAGGAGGCGGAAGAGATGTATGTGCGGAAGCCGCAAGGGTACGAGGAGGCATCGCGACTGAAGCGTACGTCGACTCTTTCCATCGTCAATAACTTCGCCGTTCTCTACTATAATCAAGGACGAATGCAGGAGACGGAGGAGGTGTATGTGCGGGCGCTGCGAGGGAAGGAGGAGGCATGGCGACCGAAGCATACGTCAACACTTTCCACCATCAACAACCTCGGCAACCTTTACTCTAATCAAGGACGCAAGCTTGACTTGACAGCGGCGGTCGACCTTACGATTCTCCCCTTCCAAGCTTCATCGCTCTGAACCCCACAATTGGCAGCCTACTTCTCATCAATAGACTGCTGCAGATCACGCTGATACTGCTCAGGGCCATCGCCAAGCTGGCCCAAGCAGGATCCAACCTGACATGGCTTCCATTGCTACGCACAGGGTAGAAGACTCCCGCAGCAATAGGCAGAGCCAGAAGGTTGTAGATGAGAGCCCAGGCGAAGTTGAATTTGACTCTTCGGAAGACCAATCGGCTGAGGCTGACCAGCGTCAGCATCGTTGTCGTGTCTTGGTTGACGAGGATAAAGTCCGCTGAAGATATTGCCACGTCCGAACCAGATCCCAAGGCAATACCGACATCCGCAACGGTCAAGGCGGGCGAATCATTCACGCCGGCACCAACCATCGCCACGATCGCTCGGCGCTCCGAACTTGCCCTTCCAAACCCCAAGAAGGATCGCGATCTCTTCGCCACCTGGCTCCTCTGGAGATACTGGATCTTCTCGGCTTTCTGCTGTGGAAGTACACCTGCAATGACATGATCCTGTGGTATGCCAACCATAGCGCCGACGGCACAGGCTGTTGTTGGGTTGTCACCCGAAAGCATCCATACATCAACGCCTTGTTGCGATAACGACTCAACAACAAAGCGGGACTCCGGTCGGATAGCATCAGAAACTGCGAGGGCCATAGCTGGCTCCCAGATGTCCGTCTGTGAAGGTGCGATGCCTCTCGTCGCAACAACAACCACTGACATCGCTTGACCTTTCCATGAATCTAGAGTAGCGGAGGTAGTGCTATGTAGTTGAATGCCATGATCGGTCATGAAAGCTTCGTTCCCAACTATTATCTCAAAGTCATGTGTCCCATCGGGCATAGTGAAAGACCCTTGCAGACGGCAATAGCAAACTGCAAGGGCCACAGAGGCCAGCCGCCCGTCTCGATGTCTAAGTAGGTCCGAGGTAAAGCGCCAGAAACCCCGAGTCCCAGCCAGATCAACCACGTGGCAATAGCGAGGAGGGTAACAACGGGGACGAAATAACTGGTGAGCGAATCGGCTACCCTCTCAATCGGCGCGCGGCGCGCCTGACCCTCACGTACCACTCCGATGATCTGATCCAACATTGAGTCACCCGCTGCGCGAGTGATTCGAATGGAGACAGGCCCTCCTTTGTTGATCGTACCGGAGTAGACAGTATCACCAGGGAGTTTCGTGACAGGTCTCGACTCGCCGGTCAAGGAAGACTCATCGAAAATGCTGTCCTTGAAAACTATGACTCCGTCCCAGGGCGGAGATCCGCCGTGGACGACTCTCACGATATCGGTCAGGTCGATCAAATCCACATTGACAGCCTCGACCCGTCTGTCAGCTTTCGATTCACCATCTGCCAGCACTAAGAGTCCTTCCTTGGGTCGTAGATGCTGGAGAGTAGCCACAGCGTCTCCAGTTTTGGCTTTGCTCTATGCCTCAATAACGCGACCAATAAGCAGAAACATGGTGAGAAAGACCACGGAGTCGAAATAGGTGGAGTTGATGCTGACGCTCCTCGTGCGAGGCGAAGCCGCCGCGATGATCAGTTCGGCAAGAGAGGAGAAGTAAGCGATCGTGGTACCCAGAGATATCAGCATATCCATACTCCCGAAGCGGTAGAATCTGCGTAGCATAGGGACAGAGCTTCCCGGTCTCCAGGTAGAGTGAAGTTCTTTGATTGTGCGGCGGTGGAAAACGTCAGCTGCAAAGAGATAGACAGGAGTGGCCATGACGAAAAGTGCCCACTCTGCACGGCTGACACCATGTAAAGGCTGCATAAGGTATCGGCGTCCAGAGTTAGTCGCAGAGACAAGCGCCATGTATACGATGCCAATGACGAAGGTGGGAATGGCGACGATAATCGAGAGAAGGACCCGATTAAATATCCGCCGCTGCACGCAAGCATGTATCCGCTTCGCGCGCTCTTCCAGAGTGGGTGGATGGTAAACAGTCGGCGCAAAAGCTGGATCAGATGAGGAAATGGCAGCAAGAATGGCTCTAATTGTGAAGTCCGGTGCCTCGGGGACGTACGAGACGGCGAAAATGGGGTCTTCCACAGCCCCGAACTTATCAATGGTCACCCGCCCGTTGAATCGATTGAGTGCATCGGCAATCTTGCTGGGGCAATGTTGACAATACATCCCATTGACTTTGATGGACAATGATCTGCGGCCGTCATGTGACTTGACTCCGGTGGAGACGGGGACTACATCGTTCACGGTGGCACCATAGCCAACATCCTCGATCGTAGTAGTGATCTCGTCCAGGTGATGTTTCCCTTCGAAAATGACCGTTGCACTGTTGCTGACAAGACTGACGTCTACGCTCTGCACCCAGCTAAGATCTTGGATTGCCTGCATAACTGTGCCTACACAGGAGCTGCAGGTCATACCTTCAATGGAATAGCTGATTTTCCACGCATCCCGAGCAGCGCGCGGCCCGGACTCTGCCTGTGTCAGCAGTTTCGTTACGTCTACCAGGCTTGTCTCATAGCCCAGGTCGTTGATGATCATGATGAATTGCGCAGCGTCGGCATTTCTTCCTCGAAAATCAATGACCGCACTCTGCGTCGCCATGGCAACGTTGACGGAAACCACCCACGCCCTCTCCTCCAGAGTTGTAACAATCTTCCCAATGCAGGAGCTGCAGCTCATGCCGTTGATCGAAAGGGTTGCCCGGAAGAGGTTGTCAGGTTGTGACGACAGAGAGTCAATCGCTATGGCTGGATATTCAGGAGTGCCTTGGTCGGTCCTATCGGTCCTGCGGCCTGCGTCTTCGTACTGAGCACGGCAAAGCTCACAGTGCGACCGATGCCGCTCTATTTTCGTCTCCTTGTCCATTGCTTTTTCTCCCCCACCCCAACTCCTAAGCGATCGTGAAAAGAAGCTTCCGTCCCGCCGGCCTGGGCTGACGGGTGTATCTCGCGTTCCTTCTGGGCTGATTGACTCAACGTCATAGCCCGCCTCGTCTAGCGCGTTTGCAATCACGCGCGGCTTCAATGACGGATCATGATGTACTGCCACGGTATGCGTCACGATAGACGTTGCCACCGAGATGGGCGGAGGGTGAAGTCGAGCAAGGGCGGCGTCGATGAAGGCAACATCAGTAGGGCAATGAGCATTGGGGACGACCAATGTCGTTCGTCGCTGGTCCAATCGCTGGGAGACCGCATCAGGTGTCGACATCGTGAGCGAGTGGTGATCTAGCATGCAGTAGTTCTACTGGAAAGCAGGATGACCGGGATCGTGTACGGGAAACGCCAGTGACTGTGATGCGCAGGCTTCTATAGTCGTGAGCGGACACAGTGCTGCTATCCAAACTTCTCCAACGGTGACTGTCCATTCCGCAGAAGTCGCGCATGCCGCACAACTCGCGCACTCATCGGCTAACGTGTCCATTCTTGATTGGCACCGAATCATTCGGCTGCGCAAGTTGTGCACTTGCCGTCGAGAGTCTCCAAATATTGCGGGTCGTGTAATGGAACGATACGAACCAGCATATAAGCACGGCTAGTAGCGGCCAGAGTAGTCTCGATCGCAATGACGAGCGCGGCGCCTTGGCGTTTAGGCGCGAATTCACTACCATCACTTCCATAATTCATTCGGATCGCCCCGATACCTCGCTTGCGTTCTGCCCAAATACGCGCCGAGATCTTTGGACCGCTGCAACGGACAGCTATTGGCTGGCAAGTCTGGTCCATGGTTTAACCGAGTGTAAGTGCCAGCTCTGTTAATGTATGCGGCTGCTCCCGGAAGCTCCGGTGACTCTCAAATCTGGACAAAGGAAGGTAGCCTAAGTCTTATTCGTATTGGCAAGAAGCCCAAGCAACTGATAGACAAACTCGAACACGCCCTACACATGTCACCTATGGATCGATCACATTCAAGTCGCATGAGCCGTAGCTGCAATGGTATCGAATACGTCCACAGCCCACACGTGATTGGTGACTGCCTGCTTGCTGACTGCTCTACATTATAGAGGAATGCCTGCGCCGCATCGCTGCTCGGCTTTGCGCCCTCGAGAAAGGCGAGCAAAACTTCAAGGGCGACACGCAGAGAGTAGTTGGCAATGTCAAGGATACTGACCGTCAGCAACTGCCTGAAAAGTGCGACAAGCCAGAGGGGGAAGCCTGCGGCGTGGATGCAAATGCGCTGTCATCACGCTGCGATGATGGAGATGCATTCTGGAATAATGAAACGAGTTGCCAGTATGAAGGCAAGGCCGCTGCTATTGGCTGCTGCAGTAAGGCTAACGTTTCTCCGACCATGTCTGGCAAGTACAAGGACGAATGCTCTAACACGATGCTCGAGGCCAACCCGCCCGGCGAGTGCAATGACGAGTGCTGTAATTTTATGGAACAGAGGCGTGAGGCCGATATATCTGCTTCCGTCTGCAGCACTCACCTTGATGCGGCCTTTGAGAGGTTCGGGGCACTCATGAAGCAGCAGCTGTGCATCTGCCGGAAGGTGGTTGAGTATTTGGGGTTTTGCTGCTGCTTGCTGTCTGCTGATGGCAGTTTGCCGGGAAGTGGTGCCTGCAGTGCATATACTGCTCCGGTCATTGAGACGTCAAAAGGAAAGGTACCAAAGGCGTTCTCGATGCAATCCAAGACTTGCGGCAGTCCAAGCGCTCCGCTGCAGAGCACTTATAAGCCTCTGTCTAGAGCTTCCAGCTGCAACCTTAGGTGCGAATCTGGCTGCTGCGCCCAGCCAGAGACCGACCCGTGCAAGAACAGCTACACTGGCACTAGCGAATGCGAGACACGTGACGATGACTGCTGCATCACGATTGGGAAGATTAAGGACGATTGCTGTAACAACACTGGGGAGGCAAAGGACGACTGCTGCATCACCACTGAGAAGGCGAAACATGACTGCTGCACTCAGACTAGTAAGGCAAAAGACGACTGCTGCACCGACACTCGCAAGACAAAGGGCTTTTGCAGCGACAGCGTCTCAGAGACCAAGGTCACCGGAATGTTCGTCCACAATGCTATCGATCTCGATGTCGAACACAGTGCCGCACGCGAGCATGTCGTGCTAAAAGTCGATGGTATGACTTGCACTAGCTGCGGCAACAAAGTCAAAAACGTCCTTGACCAGATCCCAGGAGTCTACAAGACTCAGGTGACCTTCGTCTCCGGCACTGCCGCTTTCGAGCTCGATACCGCGGTAGCCCACATGGCCGACGTAGTGCCTCTGGTCGAGAAAAGGACGGGCTTCAAGTGTTCATCCGTCGTTGACGGCTACCTCGCTTTGGACCTGCATATGTCTCCGGAAGCAGCTAATACACTCGACCATTCGGAAAAGGGAGGCATTGTGTCGATTGTCAGGGAGAAAGCGGGTCCTTACCGCGTCACCTACGATCCGTTCGTCATCGGCGCACGAGACCTACTACCCACTGGTGTCAGTCTTGCTGCTCCAGTGGCTGAAGCAGGCTCCTCCAAAGGTAAAGCTCGATTGCTTCGTCTGACATGGTACGTTATTACCGCGGCAGCTTTCACGATTCCTGTGGTCGTCCTCAACTGGGCACCGAACCCGGTTTCAAGCCAATCCCGAGGCATCATCTCGCTGGTCTTGGCAAGTGTGGTGCAGTCCATCGCAATCCCTGAATTTTACACTCCCGCGCTGAAAGCGCTCATCTTCAGCAGGGTCGTTGAGATGGACATGCTTGTTGTGATTGGTGTTACTGCTGCCTACACCTATAGTGTCGTTGCATTCGCTCTGGAAGAGTCGAGTGTCAAACTGGAACAGAAGGCCTTCTTCGAAACCAGCTCTCTGCTCATAACTCTGGTTCTCTTTGGTCGGCTCCTTGCTGATATCGCTCGCGCCAAGGCTATTCGCGCTGTGTCGCTCCACTCCTTCCAAGTGGAGAGCGCATTGCTCCTGCAGCCCGATGGAGAGTCGTATGAGCTTGACTCTCGTCTTCTGCAGCTCGGAGACAAGATCATAATACCACCGCATTCCCGCATCGTCACGGATGGCCTTGTTACTTCTGGTGCTAGTGCTGTCGACGAGTCTATGCTCACTGGAGAAGCAGTCCCTGTGACTCGACAGGCAGGCGATCTTGTCATTGCTGGGACGCTGAACGGCGAAGGTAGCTTACATACTCGAGTCACCCGTCTGCCTGGGGCCAACAGCGTTAGTGACATTGCCAAGTCAGTTGAGAAGGCTCTTGCGGCCAAGCCAAGGGTTCAAGATCTGGCGGATCGTATCGCTTCGTTGTTTGTTCCGGTCGCCGTCACTATTGCAGTGATTGTCTTCGCTATCTGGATTGTCATAGCACTCAATGTACGGGGAGACAACGGCGGAGGTGCGGTGGGCACGGCTATAACCTACGCTATCGCTGTCCTGGCAATCTCATGCCCGTGTGCTCTTGGACTGGCGGTACCAATGGTCTTGATTGTTGCTGGTGGGGTCGCAGCGCATGCGGGCGTTGTCATTAAGGCATCCGATATCCTTGAACAAGGCTTCAAGATCACCGACATTGTATTCGACAAGACTGGCACCCTGACCAAGGCAGACCTTCATGTCGCCAGCGAGGTAATACTCAGCAACAAAGCCACACATGACGAGGCACTGAGCATCGCCAAGCATCTCGTCAAGGACGACCATCACCCAGTCTCTAAGGCTGTGGCGGCGTACATTCGAGGCCACTCAACAGTCACAAACTCTGTACAACGTATCAAATCTGTTCCTGGCTCGGGAATCCAGGCGGAGTGGGACGGCCACGTTGTCAAAGCAGGTAGCCCTTTCTGGCTCGAGATACAAAGCAATGTCACGGTGGCGCAGCTGCTCGACCAAGGCATGTCTTGCTTCTGCATGACCATCGACAATGTCCCGGTCCTGGCCCTCGGGGTCGAGAGCATTCTACGGAATGAAGCGAGATTCACCTTGGATGTTCTCCGTAGCCGCAACATCTGCACTCACATCGTTAGTGGTGATCACCATCGTGCCGTAGAGGCGACCGCTCGCGAGCTCGATATCGCCAATACCGCCTCTCGCCAGTCACCACAACAAAAGAGGAACTACATTCTCAAACTGCAGTCGAACGGCAAGAAGGTCATGTTCTGCGGCGATGGCACCAATGATGCGGTAGCACTGGCCCAAGCCAACGTAGGTGTACAACTCGGCACAACATCCGATGTTGCTGGGGCTGTTGCGGATGTTGTCTTGCTCGGCGGCTTAGACGGTGTGGTGACCTTGCTTGACATCTCTAAACGTGCTTTTAGATGCGTTGCATTCAACTTCGCCTGGTCCGGCGTCTACAATATGTTCGCCATCCTGCTGGCAGCTGGTGCATTCGTCAAGGTTAGAGTGCCACCTGCCTATGCCGGGCTTGGGGAGATCGTGAGCGTGGGCCCAGTGATTATGGCTGCGATGTCTCTGCTTTTGGGAGGGAAGAAGAGAGCTTGAAGCTAAGGATTACTGCGCAGACGTGAGGATCTTGGCACCTCATTCAACATGTCACAAGCTGACTTACTCTGTGTGAGAACACTGCATTGCACAACAGTCATCAGGAGGAATAAAAGACTTGAGCCACTCGTTACGTATGCTTGACGGCCTTGGGACATATTTCTTAGCAGGCGTCACCACCAGAGTACATAGTTAGAGCTGCTACACTCATTGACTGCTCCGCACTCTCGAGGCCGCCGCACTTGCCGAGTTCCTCTCCTAATACCCGTCGCACCCGTCCTCATGGGACTCGCCGCGTCTGGCTTGCTCGTACCTGGCATGCTCACTCCGCTCGTAGCCGCCATGCCCGCCTTGCTCGTAGTTTTCACGCCCACTGCGTTCATAGAGACTGTGCCCGCGTTGCTGATACTCGCCATGTCCTGGTTGGCCGTAGCCCTCACGTCCACCTTGCCCGTAGCCAACGTGTTCGCCTTGGCCGTACCCGCGGCGCTCATCGCGGTCATACTCATCGCGCTGATACCCGCCGAAGCCACCGTGTGCCTCTTGCTGGTAGCGGTCACGACCTCCCTGTTCGTGGCCACCACGGCCACCTTCGCGGTATTCATTGTGACGGCCCTGCTGATAAGCTCCAGGTGCGTACTGCTCGTGGCTATCTTGCTCGCCTCCAGGATACTGGCCCTGGTAGCCCTGCCCTTGAGTGTTATACATACTCTGCTGGTTGCTGCCGTAGCCCGCGGATCCGTATCCCTGGTTCTGGCCGTAGCCCTGGTTCTGGCCGTATCCCTGGCCACCCTCTCCAGGGTGTTTGCTTCTCGTCACTGCATCGGACAGCTTGTGCACTACAGCGTGGTCAGCGCCAATCATCGTTTCTTGGTAAAGGGAGCCCATACCAAAGCCACCACTCGCCCCTTCAGCGCCCGTAGATCCGCCCGATCCGCCAGAGCCGCCTGAAGCAGCTTGCGCGGCAAGTTTCTTGACGAACTCAGCCATTATTTCGTGTCGTGTCGTAGGACACTATCACGTAATGATATATGTCGTGTCGTGTCGCTTCGAAAGTCGATCTGTCGCTTCGAAGGTTGGAGCAGGTCATTTGTGCCGTGTCGTGCAGGTGGTGGAGCAGCAGTCACAGGAAGATGCGGTAAAGGGAAACAGTAAATGACGCGGCCAAAGTGCTTGGCTTTTGCCACGTAGTCGCTGCCTTCAGCCACAGCCCAAATCCGAGTCACGTGGTAGCCTGGCACGAAGGCCGATGGCGGCAGGTGCCGGTAGCGACGAATAGTGGTAGGGTAGAGCCCGAATATTGAAAGGTTACGTTCGCGGAGGCGTCCTGCAGCATATATAGCTTTTCAAACCGACATTCACTTCATTCAGACTTCGAAAGCACCTTGATGGTCAAAGGTCACGTGACGCGGCCCAAGCGTAATGCAAGGCGCTGCGCCACCTAGTAGCAGCTTTCTCTCCAGCAAGCGCGGTCGCAAACGCTGTGCAAAACAAACACCGACCTGAAGCGAGAACCACCATCCTGATAACATCATTGACCGTCCATCATGGCAACGTCCCTCAGCAAGACGCAAAAACTCTCCATCATCATAGGCATCTCCTTCTCTTTCTTCATCGCCGAGATCGCGGTCGGCTTCTACACACACTCTCTCGCGCTCATCGCTGATGCTTTCCACTACGTACGGCGCCCCTCACGTGTAGCAAGGCGTGTCAGTCGCTAATCTTGTCCAGCTCAACGACTTGGTCGGCTTCGTCGTTCAGCTTGCGGCCTTCAAGGCGAGTGCAAAGTAGAGTGTGCACCTCGCGTCCTCCTCAACTTTGCTCACCACGACACAGGCTTCCGAGCGCGACCAAGCACCCCCTGAGCTGTCCTTCGGCTGGCAGCGAGCGACGCTACTCGGTGGCTTCTTCAACGGCGTTTTCTTGCTTGCACTTGGCGTGAGCATCTTCCTCCAGGCCATCGAGCGCTTTGTGGCCATTGAAGGTGCGCGCTCCGCCAACTGCTCCTTCCGCAAGCGTGCAATTCTGACCCCGTCACAGTCATCAGCAACCCGAAACTCGTGCTCATCATTGGATGCGTTGGCTTCACGCTGAACGTCATCAGCGTCACCGTTTTACACGGCAGGCCTGACTCTCCCGCGATCGACGCGTGATCTTGCTGACAAATGTGCAGAGCACGACCATGATGTCGAACACGCGGCCAACATCGACCCTCGCATCGGCTCCATCGATGGCGGATCTGCTCCAATGGAGGTGAGCGCACTTGCTTGCACATGACCCGACCCGCTGCGCCTGTACTGACCTCGTACCATACACACAGATGGAGCGCCCGCACAAAGACGATCGCCATGCCGCACCCGACCGCCAGGGTCAAGGCAAGCCCGAACGCGATTTGGGTCTCATGGGCATCTTGATCCACGTGGCTGGTGACGCAGCGAACAACTTGGGTGTCATCCTGGTAGGGGCCGTCATATGGAAGACACATTCTCCTGGTCGCTACTACGTTGATCCAGCGATCAGCATCACCATTTCGATCATGATCTTCGCATCCGCTGTCCCTCTCGGTAATACTAACAGCATGTATGTCCAATAGGCGCCAGGCTGACTCGTGCCTCCAGTCAAGAAGAGCGGCCTCATACTACTCCAGAGCGTGCCGAAGGGCGTCAACCCTGTGGATGTCATGCATGATATGGAACAGGTAAGTCCAATTCAGAGCATGATCGGCCACCGTTGATTTGACACAATCGCTTTACAGACTCCAGGTGTGCAAGCTGTCCACGAGTTGCATATCTGGCGGCTCAACCAGCAGAAGTCCGTGGCGTCTGCACACATCGTGGTCGACAACCTGCCGGAGTTCATGACGGTCGCCAACGCCATCAATGAGTGCCTGCACTCATATGGGATACACTCGGTGACCCTGCAGCCAGAGGTCGACCCATCGTTGCGCGTGAGCCGCTCAAAGGAGCCAGAATTTAGTGAGGGAGTTAGGCTCACTGCGAGCGCCAACGCATGCTTGGTGGGTTGCCAGACTGTAGGTACGTGCCAGCAAGGCGGCTGCTGCAATTGACTTGTTAAGTCTGGAAGGGGTCAGTAAGTCGCTCGTAGTGTGTTCTGCCGTGACTGATTGGTGTCCAAAGTGCGAAGCGAAGGGTTTTGCGGTGCCTGTGCAGAAGTAAGGGCGAGGGACGGCTGATGATATAAGTACCATTTGCTCTTCGTAATTCTGGGTGCGATCACAGCCTATGCGATCCCTTCCTGTAGTATTGCTAGAGGGCGTCCAGTGTGCGCTATAGTAAATAATGTTAGTCCGGCCTCGAAAGGCTGAAAGTATCTACGCCAGAGGAAGTGAGAGCGGGCAAAGCCCGTTGCGATTTACCGCGCCACGTGACGCACTCATCGAACTTGACTTCGCCAGCCTACTCACTCAAGTCTTACACCCTCTGTCCTGGACCCCTCTCAGACCTCTTTGATGGCACATGGTTTCGCCTGCTCCAGCGTTCTGAGCAGGTACGAATGGTTCAGATCCTACAAGAGCTAGAGGGTTAATACGTGATAGGCCAAATCGCCTTCGCAAACCATGACTGACGAAGTGGACTTCATGCGCCGGCAACTAGTGACTATGGAGTTCGATTTAGAGGACTTGAGGCGCGGCGTGACTGGTTCACTTCAAGACATGGTAGGGCTTTGCAGGCTGGTAACGCTCGTAGCTATAGCTGTAGCTGGAATTTGCAGCTGATACCAGGTAGCGAGCCCAACGGACGGAAAGTACGGCAGAGTGGTAGAGTGGAACATTTGGAAGATGGAGAAGGAAGGAGTGTCCTGGCGGACGGGGACGCTGAAAAGCCCGCCGGTGCCCCTGCTAAATGCCGTCCAAACCCTGAAGGCTACCTATCGTCGAAAGGGAAGTAAGGTACACACACATCGAGACACCATGCTTTCGAACTGGCCGATGATGGAGGATGAGTACAGGTATGCTGGTCAGGAGGAGGACGAGCCACATGTGCTCTACGTGACCCTGATGTAATTATCCCCCTCACGTCTGTATCAAACATCAAGATTTCGGCGAATACTGAGCCACTGCCCTCTTCAACCATCTTCTTATGTGGCTAACTGCAAGATGGACGAAGCTGGCGGAAAGCGAGCCGCTCAAGCGCTCCTCCGTCTGCGCTAGTGTTGTCGGTTCATCTGTCTACATCTTCGGCGGCGAGCTCAAGTCACGCCAGCCCCGCGACAACAATGTCCATAAGACCCAAGTTACCTTGGGCAAGTTACCCTTGATTAAACGAGGCGGACATTCCAACACAAGTAGGCAAGGCTGACAAGGCACAGGCAACGGGTTAGGCATCGAGACAATCGCGAGCATAGAGGGTTCGGTCGTCCCTGAGGATGATATCTCGATACCCTCCATGCGGTTATATTGCATTGACATGGGGTTTTATTGGTTCAGTCGGAATCCGTAAGCTCGAGGGCACCCTATAATAGAAATTTCCAGTGATTTCATGATACTATCTTCATAAGAGTCTCGCGGGATAGGGCGGACCCTCGGTCCATTGAAGCGCAGGTTCCTTCTGCTGGTCGTCGATGCAGTGGAGATTCTTACCAGGTATCTCAGAAAAGACGCACTTTGCACCCGTGTTGCAAGCGGCACCACATGGACAATGGTGACTGAGATAGCAATCGTAATTACGACAAGACTGATCACCGGAGCGATGAATTGCGATTTCATCAAGACTGAGCTCTTGATCGTGTACGTGTTGGCAAGAGGGCCGTAAGCAGGCTGCCAAAAGGTAGTGTTCGTTGCAAAGATTTCTGGGCTTCTCTGCCGAGGAACGGGACACGTTCTTTGGCGGGTCTCCGCCGCCGCCAAGGTCCAGGAGCATGTAAGGCTGCGCTATCCGTCATGGCTGCACCATTACGCTTTGGACACATCAAGGTCCTGCAATGCCATCACCATTTGGACTCATCAAAGTCCTGCACGTAGCCTGTGTACTCGTGCCCTTGAGCAACCCAATTCTTGATGCCTCCCGTCAGCACTAGACTCTCCATGTGGGTGTCGGACTGATCGTTGATGTAGTCACTGAACCATGCGGCGGCTCGGTTGCCGCGTCCACGAGAAGAGCCTGGCGAACGATCAGCGCTTTCCCACAGCGACGAACAGTCGCGTGGACTCTGTTGCTTCCAGCACGTCACCTACCGCAGTACCAGATCACACGACGAACCTCCGCGGCGGCGAAGAGGTGGTACAGCGTAGGGATTGTAGGCCAAAGGCTCTGTGCGGGCAGATTGATGGAACTATGGATCGTGCCGCCCTGCGTATCATAGCGCGCGTTAGGAAGTGAAACGCGGTTCAAACGTTATGTCTCTCCGGCATGCCTCGTAATCTGTGCGACGTAGATCAACGAGCACAAAGTCCTTGACTTGCTTAGCGCTGCCCTTCAGCATTTGTAGCACTTCGTCATGGGTGATTGGGTTGGCCTTCGACTTCGCCACTGGGTATGCCTCGTACCAAGGCTTCTCGGTAACAGGGTTCGCCGATGCAAACATGATAGGGTTCTCTGCCGTTTTTTCCAATGATGTGTGGACCGATGATAGGCGAAGGCTTCACTTGCTAATGAGCTAGTCGTCCTTTTAGATCAACTCCTGGTATGCCAAGTCTCAAGTCAGCAGCAATTCGCCTTCTTCACGAACAAGTGTGAGAAGCAGTGACATCGCCGGTCACCAGTGCAAAATCTGTTCACGCGCCAAGTTTCGAAGATGTCACCAGAATGGTCAGCAAGACTGGCCAATCAGCGTCTTGTTGCGACACTCCTTCATTGCCAAGGAGATCCCATATATACAACGACTGCGCTTTTGCAGCGCTCTTACGAAAGGAATGCCCTGTCTTCGAGGGACAAATACAACTTGACAAATCTTGCAGCGGGTGTTCTCAACATGTTTGGAAAGGCGAAGATGGAAGACTCGCAACTGTTTCCAAGCGATGATACGGTCACGTCCATACCAGCGGCGAGCAATGGCGATGCAGAAAAGCAAGACATATCAGAGCATCGCAAAAATGAGAATGTATCTGCGTACAAAGCGCTCGGATGGCTCGATCGTTTTCTCGCGGTATGGATCCTCCTGGCGATGATCATTGGCATCCTGCTGGGCAACTTCGTCCCGAGTACGGGCCCGGCGTTGCAGAAGGGGAAGTTCGTCGGTGTATCAATACCCATTGGTGAGGAGCTTGTGTGTTGCCCTGGTTTGGTCGCAGCTAACGATTAACAGCCATCGGCCTGCTGGTAATGATGTATCCAATCTTGTGCAAAGTCAAGTATGAAACACTGCATAGAGCGTTTGCGAAGAAGGAGCTTTGGTAAGCATCTGCACCGCCATGGACGTGAAACGTAGACTGACGCCTCTTATAGGATCCAAGTCGGCTTCAGCATCATCTTGAACTGGATCGTTGCTCCTTTGGTAATGGTATGTATCTGTATAGCCGAACGTATGTTGACGCTGGCTAACCCCGTTACAGCTCGCACTTTCCTGGGCTTTCCTGCCCGATAAGGAAGGCCTCCGAGAGGGTTTGATTCTCGTCGGGCTTGCGCGCTGCATCGCAATGGTCCTTATATGGACCGGTCTCGCCGGTGGCGACAGCGAGTACTGCGCAATCCTGGTCGCGATCAACTCTATTCTGCAGATGGTCCTCTTCGCCCCTCTCGCAATATTCTTTATTAACATTATTAGCGGCTCGAAATCCACTATTACCGTCTCTTACTCCACGGTCGCAATCAGCGTCGCCGCATTCCTTGGAATACCACTCGGTGCTGCCATCATCACACGGTTCGCCCTTCGCAAGCTCACCAGCCCCGATTGGTACGAAAAGGTCTTCTTGAAGCTGGCTGCGCCTTGGTCATTAATCGGGCTTTTGTACACGATTCTTGTGCTTTTCGCTAGCCAAGGCCGGCAAGTCGTACACCAGATTGTCTCGGTAGTACGAGTGGCGGCGCCACTGATCGTCTACTTTGTCGTTATCTTCGGCCTAACGCTGCTTGTAACCCACAAATTAGGCTTCGGGTACAAGCTCTCCGCGACACAGTCATTTACGGCTGCTTCGAATAATTTCGAATTGGCAATTGCGGTGGCAGTAGCAACGTACGGACCAAACAGTGACCAGGCACTTGCTTCAACAGTCGGACCGTTGATCGAAGTGCCGGTGTTGCTGGGTTTGGTGTACTTTGTGCGATGGTTTGCCAACAAGAGAGGCTGGGAGTGATATGTAATCTGTACCATTCGTGTTGACGACCTTTCTCGCTTTCGTCGTCCTTGCATTGCACTTGTAACTCATGAGCATTTCGCGCACGAGAGTTTTGGGGAAGGGTGTGTACATCCCACATGTTCCGGCGCTCATTTCGTCAATATCGGTCCCTTCATGAATCGCTCCCTGCAACGATTCCCTATGGTGCACCACGAGCTGATGGACTGCCGCAGAATTGAGGAGCCACCAAGTGGCGATGTGGTGGCAGTACGGCAAACGATATGTCATCGGCAGACACATACCTTTGGATTCGTTGAGCAGGAGTGACTGAGACGGTGTTGGACTTGATGTGTCACTTGCTACGATGATATGTCATCAGTGCTTGTCCAATCGGACGCTGGCTGTGTCAGATCGGATTTTTGCAGCTAGGAAATCCCGACCACCGCGACGTCCTCACGCCATCGGCAAGTCCGGCTTGCCATTTGCTAGCAGATTCTTCTGTGGTATGCTCGTCACGATCGTAGCCTTCATGATGAACCTCTGGACGGGCACTCTTACGCTAATACACTTGGCAACGCGTTTCTCGCGAGTAGCATCAATGTTGGCCAGGGTGCGAGTCAATGGTGATCTCAACACAACAGAAGTGCTTCGCAGACGGTGGAATGCCGGACCGCGCATATGCTCTGCGTACACTAGCAATCCCCGCCTGTAAAGACGATAACACCGTCCGCACTAAGTACAGACCGATTCTCCTGCGCGACGATGTGGTTACAAGCGACTAGGTGGCTAAGCTGGAGCCAAGTACCGCGTTAAAGATGGCCAAGGCGGATACATCAAATTTAGGTAGCAATTGGTTAAAAATAATGGTGCTATACGGCAGGCTACGTACTCGTTCATACTCCCGCCTGCTTGTAGTCGAGTGCGCGCGTATCCTCTTCAGTCTAGGCTGTGACGTTCGTGGCTTTGAGCCTACCGGCCTGCCTTTTAAAGATAACGTCTAGCAACATCACACGCAGGTGGAGCAATAGTCATGTGTGGAACTCGTCCAAACAGCATAGTACCTTTGTGCGTAGATTCCTCGTTCTGATCTAGTCTTTTCGAGTGTCACACTAACTCAGCTATAAGACCGGCGAGTTCAAAAAACCAATTCGACCGGATCGTATTAAGCACTGGGTTGGTGCGCCCGACGCAAGGCCTACACTCAATTCATTAAAGCCGCGGATCCCGACAAGAACGATGACTACGTGGAAGTTAGGGGAAGAAGCCGACTTATGCTGTCTGGAAATCGTGAGAGAGTAGTAGATTGCGTGTGGAGGAATTTGTAAAGTACACCATCGTTATACGGCAGCATTTCGATCCGTTTAGTGGTCGATACAGCGAACGCCTCGTACGAAAATCGAAGCGCAATGCAGATGAGGGTGTCAAAGCAAAGACAGACACGGCAGGGCGAGTAGGCAATGCATCTACGACGGCGAGCGGAGATGTCATTAATGGCATTGATGTCAGTGGGGTCTGAGGCGAACGTAAGCTGGTGCTGCACCACGAGCGAGATCGATTGGTAAAGACATAGATTGGGGAAAACATTGGGAGCAAGACGAATCGTTCTTCTCAACGGGAGAAGTCTGGCATAATGTCCTTGCTACAGCATATTTCTGCTACACAGTCGAGACATCAGCCAGTACATTAAACAGTATGCTGTTGTCCAATCGACACTCATCGGATGGTCCGTTGGTCGCAAGAAAGCCTGGTCGTAGGCGATGGTGCAGCTCAGCTAGCGAGATGCCTTTACGATTGTGCTGAAAGATCATAGACAGCGCTACGGAACATGCAGTGGTTGTCTCTGTCGATTGTACTCGCACGGTGGTTTCGAGGAAGCAGCGCTCTATGGTTTGCGTATCGCTATTGTGCATGTTAGGCGCGGGATTTGTGTGCAGATTTGTGGTGAACCGCTCCCCCCCGACTGGTAGTCGCCTCGCTCGGTGCTGGTATCCGTGTCTGCATCTGAAGATCGGGTAAAGTGCTAGCAGCATTTGTGATGCTTTCGGTGCTGGGCCTTAATCCCGCAGCCAAGCACATGTCGTCGAGCGAAGTGGCGGGGAAGTCCGGTAGATTATTGGCAAGGCTCAGCCAGCTGGCCGGCTGCTGTAGGTAAGTCAGCAGTCTACCTTGTCGTGAAAAGATGGCCACGTACCCAGGAATGAGTGTTCCAGCTCTGTTGTGCGACTGTCGTAAGATCCGGACTGTCTGAACCGCCAACATGGCTATTCTCCCAGCACTCCAGGCCTGCAGGAAGGTCCAGCGCGACCGCTGGAGGCGCCACTCGGTCTTTCTCTGATGCAGAACTGATGTAACGGTTCTGCGCCTCGTCGTCAACGTGCAGCGCACGCAAAAGACCACGCAATCCAGCATTTTCTCGAAGAACGTCTTGCAGCGCTTCCATGGTAATCGGGCTCGTAGATGCTAGGGCTGATGTTGTGGATGAAGATTTGGCTAGTTGAGCTTGCAGTGTCTGCACTTGATTTTCTAGATCCGCGAGACGTGCACGTTTACGCTCACGACAATGCTGCTGGTTACGACGAACGCGAGCAAGGTACTCTGGCTACGACGAGGGTTAGCCTATCGAGGTGAAATGGCGATGATGATAGTAGTGCAAAAATTCTATCGCGCACCTTTGTCTTGGCAGACATTGCGTGGTCCGACATTAGCAGGGGTTTTTTCCGGTGCGAAAAAGGTGTTCCGATCATGACATTGACAAGAATCGTTGTGAGAGGAGGTCTGCTACAGTTGTCTTGGCAATGACATAATAGCCGACGCTCGACAGTCTTCAAATTCAACTTCCTGACAGGCTCGCAGCGATTCAGGCTAGCAATCTTAGTCTATGGTCTTGTCTAGAAACTTAATCAAGCGCAACTATGTACTGAGCGATATTGTTTTGCTGGCGACCCTCAAAATCTTGCAAACCATTGATCCTTCGTGTCACTCGCTCAATCGTAACCGACCACCATCATGATCATCATCATCCTTGCAGGAGTCAGCCCGCCTTTGTGCGCACTACACCTTCACCTTCTTCAGCACGTCTTTCGTCTTCACTTATCGCGTCCTCGCTGCCAATTTCATCGTGGTACTTCTAAATAAGGTACTCAAGGTACTGGCGCTTCGTCTCTGGGATCAGGAGAGTGGTGCCGAGGCGGCAAACCATGAAGGCAGCAAAAATCTGCATGACATGATTGAGCGATTTGTCGGTCGCACCCTTGTTCTTGAGAAGCCTAACCAATGCCTGAGTGATGACTGCACCAAGTTTGCCTGCACCAGCGGAAAGCCCATGGACAGTCGAGTGGGAGCGTGTACGGAAAATTTCTTCGAAAACTAAAGCAATGTCAGTGCCCGCGTTGGCCGGACTTGTGGTGCGGTCACTCACCAATGAAGGTGGTCGAGTTGGCTCCAGAATTCGAGAAGGACGGACAGAGCACATAGAGAGCGATAAGCGAGCTAGACGACAGGCTATGATAGGTAAATCCGAAGATGCAGAACAAGATCGTCAAGATGGCGAAACTGCCACTTTGTATGAGCCAACGACCAAGGGTATCGATTGTCGCAGCTGAGACCCAGTAACCAGAGATGTTTCCCGCAAGGGCCAGGGTAAGGTTACCCACCACCGTGTTGTGCAGGCTATGGTACACATTTTCGGCCAAGGAAAATCCAATGGCACTGAGGGACCTCCTTTCCCAGTGACTGCTGTGAAGATCCATCACATTGACAAACAACGCCCTGGAAGGGTATCAACGATGAATCGTTAACACTTAGATTTCTCGTCTTGTTGCAACTGCATACCTACGTCGCATTGATAGACGATCGATAGCGGACATGGAATTTTTACATATGCATGCCCCACGGTTTTCGCGAGCCTGGAAGCCACGCAGCATTTCGAGCCCATCCTGTGAGGCACGTCTTTGGTGGCAATGTTACACGAAGAACCGGATTGCTCTGTAGCAGCGTTGCACTCCCACTCGTTCAAGGCTATGCATCTAGTCACCACATCCCCAGGACGAAGATCGTCCGGGAATCCCGCTCAAGACAGACCCTCCTCCTCCGCCACTATGGGGCACTCCTCCACCATTCCCCCGCATCGTACCTGTGCATCCGCCGCACAAACTCTGGTCCCCCAGCCGCCCAGCCTTGCATGCCCCCAGTCATGACCAGACTCTCCGTCGCGGGAGCCCCCTGCGCGGCAACATAGTCGGCGAACCACCCGGCCGCCCTTGGCCCGCGGTGGCACGACGAACCTGCAGACCGTAAGCCCTCCGATTAGCGACACACTGACTCGCTCGTGCCCCGGACGGTAACTCACCGCAGTAACAGATGACCTGCCGCACGCCCGCGGCCTGGAACAAGGCGTAGAGCGCTGGGATCGTTGGGTAGAGGCTCTGCGCGGGCAGGTTGATGTAGCCGTCGATTGCGCCACCCTGTCAAAAGGGGTTCAGCGTTAGTACCTGAGCGGTGGATTGAGCAGGGAGTCTTGGCTGTTGCTTGGACTTACCTTGAAATCGTCTCGGCGGAGGTCCACGAGTACGTACTCCTTGGGTTTGGTGGCGGATGTGACAAGTTGCAGGACGGCCTCGCGGGAGATGCGGGCAGGGGTTATGCGTGCCTCGGGGTACGCGAGGTGCCAGATTCGCTCGGGATTGGTGGTGTTGTGGTCGTCGTTTGACAACATAGGGGGGAGGTCGTGAGCTGCTGGGTTAACATCCATGGCGAGCGTCTGGACGTCCAGCCGACGTGGACGACAGGTGGGAAGGAGCCGAGGAGCAAATGTTCGAGAAGGGAAAGTATGGGAGCAGTCCACTGACCAATTGGGGGGACTTTTAGTGCAGGAACCCAGCAAGATCAGTGAAGTAAGTGCTCGAGATGGCCCCGAGAGCCGCTGGTAAGGCAGTAGTACGTATAGTGACGGCTAGTCCGTGCTAGAACAAGAGTGACATGCCGCTCTAACTAGCCGCGCATAGCAACATGTCACAAGGGCAGTAGTGCGGACAGAGCGGGCCGGGAGAAGTGCTTAGACTAGATACAGGTATACGGATAAACCTTCGAGTAGAGCACAGCTGCCACCGGGTGTCACCAGCACCGTCTGGAGTGCTTCACTGGCTTGTGCGGCTAGCCAATCAATAATAATGTTGCCACACCACATTCTGTTCGATTTGGACATCCTGAAGGACGCGCAGCAATCTTTTGCAAGAGCTGACTTAGTGAAAGCGCGGTCGCTGACGCGGCGTTGCGAGACGCCAACATCATGCACACTGCTTCTTCTCCCGGTATATCCTTCATGCATATTGGGCGTGCGAGGAGCAGCTGGGCGAGCGCGATGCCGAGGATGATTGTGGTGAGGAGCTCGCGCCTTGGCACTGAGATGATACGTCCCCTTCAGCAACTTTAGCCCATTCGATAGAACTGAGAGTCTCAAACGACGTTCGTAGCTCCACGTCGTCATCTAGACAGATTTTATAACGGAGCTCCTCTTTGAGCGTACGGCTCAAGCACACGACCCGATCCACCCCAACGAGCTCAGCTGGAGTGTTGTAGTCACAGTTCAGAACGCAATCCGCACAGATGCGAGCTGCGGTCATGCCATCAGAAGGCTCCCACTCTGCAACATTGATGAAGTCGATCGATAATGTTCCATGGCTTTCAAGAACGCTTTGTTCCTGCTAGTACAGGGGTTTCAGCAGGAATGCCTAGCACTGTCGAGGACTGCTAAAATGTACGCATGCTCCATGGTTTTCCAAAGCCCCTTCCCCTTTCCTTCGTGCTCGTCTTGCTCTTCAAGTGCGGAGCATATGTCAGCACGTGATGGCACCTTCACGTCGCCGTAATGCAGTCGTGTTTTGCGATATAAGCGATTCGAGATTTTGTCGAGTAGGTCAATTTATTGCTCTAGGTACCTGCTACTAATGTCCAATACGGTGTGTTTCCACAAGGCCATAGTCACATGTGCAAGAAATCTGGGGTCGAAATGCAAGGCTGGTGGAGGCTGGCCGTTTGAAAATGTAGCGTTCTGCTTGAAAACTGCTTCTCGCCATCGACTCGCGTTGTGTTCATGCCCGTCAAAGTGTTCAACGGTGCAAAGGGCAGCTACAGTGTCTGGGCGTTTGGTCCCGATGTGCAACAACATCATCTGTGCTTGTCCAGCGCTTGCTGCGCGTCAAAGGCACTCCTCAAAGTCCTGAAAGGGACCCCATCTGCTTCCCCAGCTCTGCAGCTGGTATTCGCACACTACCAGCCGCCTTGGCGAACTCTGCGGCTGATTGCATGCACTCACAGCGATCACGCCACTAAAGAGTGGTCAGACGATGGCGGTGCTGATTTGGCCGTGTTAGATCACTCTGTCCGGTGTATAGAAGGAAGCGCACTCTTCCATGTCCGCTTATACTGGTAATAAGCCTCCTGCTGTGACTTGAACACGACTGGCCGGCTGTATACGCCCTTCTGTAGTAAGACAGAGGTGATCTGTTTCTGGCCGAAGAAGGGTTCAAGTTCTCCCACTGCTTGTGACTGAAGGGCCTGTAAAATGCCTGCTCAAGTTTGACTTATCTTCCAACAACCCATCATATTCCATTGACGTCGACGCCGTTGACAAGCTCTGCACTCCTAATAGTCCCTGCGTTACCCTCGCGGCCTGCTTTCTCCTTCTCTTGCGTTGCATTCCAGTCTTGAACTTGCTTCGCCTCCCGCTCGGCGCGCTCGCTGTAGCGGGCATTGAATAAGTCGAAGTGCTGCCGCATAAGGATGGTGTACTTTGTCGGTCTTTCGTATTTCTGTGCCGCTTTGATAATGTTGGAGCTTCGACGTGTCAAACATAAACGGCACGAAGGACAACGGTAGTGCAACGAAGAGCAACACGGCTCTCAGCTTACCGGTCCATGTACTTAACTTACTGGTCTTCGGTTGCTATTAGTCTTGGGAGCCGGCGCGGGCCGACACGTGGAACAGTGGATTGGAATGGAGACACATATTTGCCGTGACATTATGACGACGCTCTTTTTGGGCGATTATATTGACATGTAAGGTACAATTGCCACACGAATGACGCTTTCGATGTGGCAGATGAAAAGTTGCTGGGCAAGTGTGTAATAGGCAGCGGTGTAGAACCAAATCACGTCGTTGGGCTTCGGCTTCGGCTTCTGCTTCTCCCCACTTTCGCAAAGCGGCGTTTCGTGAACGACATCCTGCAATGGCACAGGTGGTATCCGTATACTCCTCACAAGCGCACTCCATGGCGAACAAAGTACACGGCAATGGTGATCTTAACAATACCGCGGTGCTTAGGAAGACCATCATCACTGTTCCCGATCCGCCATATGCTCGGCGGACTCTGGCTGTCCCCGAAGGCGAAGATGACAGCGCCATCCGTGCCAAGTTCAGGCCGTTCCTCCTCCACGACGACTTGGCCAGCAGCGACTGGGTGGCAAGGCTAGAGCTGAGCACCGCTCTAAAGATGGCCGAAGCGGATATGCAGCGGACCGACGGCGATCGGCTGAAGGTGATGGTACTGTTCGGCAGCATGCGTAGTCGCTCCTACTCACGCCTGTTGGCCTTTGGGTGCGCGCGCATCGTTTTCCGCCTGGGCTGTGATGTTCGCATTTACGAACCTAACGGCCTGCCTGTTAAGGACGACATTCAACATGATCACCCGAAAGCTGGATCAATCTCGGTGTTAATTCATCGGCAGTACACGGTCGTGCATACATGCGAGGCAGAACCAACGCACTGTGAGTCCCATGCCGTCCTACAGCCTGTGGCTAGCGAAAGCAATAACGTCGGAGTCTGCGCAATGGTCGGCAGTTGCGAAGCGAGGCTTGAAACAGTATGTAAAATGAATAATGATTGTCCGCGCCTACCTTTGGCTGTCGCCGTGGCCTACCACGTTCCATGATCGCAGGTTTTGATCTTTTATAACCCGATCGCAGATCGCAGGTGCATCAATTGTCGTGGCATTTTCAACGCAAGTATTCTGTTCACGATCTTGCATCGTGCGGACGCCCGCACACTAACTCCCACAAACACTTTGTGGTCACGTTGCCGGCCTCTCGCTAACCAACACTTGGTCTGGTAGATGCAGAGACTGCTCTTACAGTGCAACCGGGCTTCACCAACTTTCGCGCAGACGCGCCTTGTGGTCTACCTGACCGAAGACTGTAGGTATGTGCCACAGTCCTCGAGACAAGCAGGTATTGAAAGAAGATTGGTGTAGAGCACAATTAAGCGCATTGCACAGTTTTATGTCAACACGATTATACATTCTAAACCCTCACCCGCACCAAGGTTGTCTCCTTGCGAACAGAGAAACTGTCGGCATAGCGAAAGCGAGAGTGGTGCTGATTCGGACCGACAGGAAGAAGATATCTTTGGTCTTGCTTGCCTCTTGGTACCGAGAGATTTGCAGACGCTGACGGGATCTAGCAGACGGCTCTGCGGGTTACAGCCATTGTATAGTACGTCAGTCCATCTGCTGGGGCTTCGAAGCAATAGGTATCATGGCTGCAACAGTAGCATGACTCCATGCACTATCTGAGACTTCCCTACCGGGCTTGCTGATCTATGCTACCTTTTGGTCAAGCAGTCCTTGAAGGTCGATCCACCGGGTGGTCAATTCTGCCGAACGTTCCTCTTCTACCTCGGGGTCGTTGTCACCTCCGGGTCACCACCACCTCGGGGTCGTTGTCACCTCCGGGTCACCACCACCTCGGGGTCGTTGTCACCTCGCGGTTGTTGTCACCTCCGGGTCATTGTCACCTCCGGGTCGTTGTCACCTCGCGGTCCTTGTCACCTCCGGGTCGTTGTCACCTCGCAGTCCTTGTCACCTCCGGGTCGTTGTCACC